TAAGAAGGAAGTGATATGTCTGCTGTAGAGCTAAGGCATATAGTGAATAAATATTGCATCTTCTTTATGAAGGGAAAATTGAAACACCTGCTCACGAAATATATCCCATTAGCAGACTGGAATAAAGTGGCTTTTCTACCTATATCATGACTTGCACGCATGCTCTTTCAGTGCTGTGCTGTGTTTAAAGGGCAGAGCTAGTCACCTTGAGCCCCACAGAGGTCCTCTTGGAAACAGGATTGTTTGAAGTGCAGTGTCTTCTAGGACAAAGGATGACCTAAAATCATGCTGTGTTTCCCCGCTTTCCTCAGGCTCAGATATGGTCATGGGAGATGAAAGTGCAACTGTAATTGTGTCATATGGTTGGGATCGCGTGCTCTGCCCAAGTAATGCTAAAGCCGCCTTAGCTGACTGGAAAATTCATGCTTAGATTTTCTGACATGTCCTTTTTCTACCAACAACTAGAAAATAGCATTTTCAATCATGTTTTTCCTCATGCGTAACCTCAATCTGGCTTCCTGGCCCTTTTGCTAGCCTAACAAAATTGATGCCTCATCTTGCACCCATCCCCTTGGAAACCTCCCAAAGAAGAGAAGGTACCCAGTATTTTTTGGATGGTATCTGAGACACTGTGAACTTGGCCATAGAGTAAGCAAAGGAAAATTCACTCTGAGCAGCTGAGGAGCTTGCAAAGCTCTGCTTGTCCAGCCTTTCCTCCTCCCTTAGCTTTCTGCAGCCTTTTTCTTCAGAGCGGTCTCATCTCACAGGTCTTGGTGAACCTAATTTGGACTGACATCAGTGGGAATTTGGCCTCACAATTTGGATCTATATCAGCCTGGTAATGTGAGTTTGTTATCCTTTGCTTGTTTCAGATCAGAACTATTACAACAAAACAACATATAAACTAGGAACAGTGGGACCGTTTCTATCAGTCCTTATCAACTAGATTAAAATCTTTTCTTAGTCGGTTAGACATTGGCTGGCTTATTAGCTTTGTCATTATCATTTACCAATTGCATTATATCAGTGTCTTAAAGAACTAGCTAGAATCAAAGTTTCAGTGTTTTAGGCACTGAAAAGAAAAAAAAAAACATTGAGATTTTTCAGACACATGTGTAAGTTAGGATAAAACTAGCTTTCAATGTTAATTAAAAATCTACCTTTCAAAGAAAACCTAGCAAAAAAACAGAATCCCTTTGTTTTTGGACAGCCCCATGCCCAACACAAAAACAATGACCCCTCCCAACCCCTGAAACCTCCAGGAGATCGTCTTCCTGGGTAACATTTCTGCTTCTCTTGTTCTGTCACAACAAATCCTCTCATCTTGAAGTTGTTGCCAAGTCTAACCTCAGAGAAGAATATGAGGACTGGGCTTGTTGGAGTCTAAAAGCAGTGATAGTTTCTAAAATATAAATATATATATATGTATATATTTGTAATTGATTCCAGAGAGAAATATATAAAAAATGTATAGAATTAATGTTTCCTGTTAATTGAAACTCTCTTTTGGAAAGAATTCTTAAGTAATGCGCTGCCATTTATTTTCATAGCTACAAATGCGCTGTTAGTTTTAGCCAAGTGCTTCAGGCATCTAGCCCGCATGTGCTTGTTTCTCTTTGAGGCTGAAACGTGCACTATTCGCTTTTCCAGCAGCTTTGCAGAACGCCGAGGGCAACTCTTCATCTCGGCTACTGATTTTGCATAGCTAAGCCGTAGTCTTTCATGCAACTGGGCTGATTTACCTCAGTTATGGATCCAGCCCTCGCAGCCTCTTATTTATTAGGCAGTGTCTGCTTTCCATTTCAGATGGGCTACTTATACGTAGGACACAGGTTACTGGGAAGCTGTACGAAGTGGCAGCAGCAGCAGCAGCGGGCAGGGCAGCCGGCCCCGCTGCCCCCGGCCGCTCGCCCCTCGCAGCGCTGCGGCTCACGAGGCACCCGGTCGTGTTCCTTA